GCATCCCAGAGCGCTTGACAATGGGGATCATGACGGGGGCAAGGGTGGGTGGGGGGAAGAGGGGAAGGTGACCGTAAGTACAGTCAAAGAGGAATTTCTTCAGGTGTGACCTGAAGAGGAGGAAGGAAGGGGTAAGGTGGAGGGATAGAGGAAGAGTGTTCCTCTATCCCTGAGTTTTGGGGAGTTGTGGCTGAAAGCGCAGCCGCTGATAGTGGAATGTAGGGCACGAGAGACATGCAGAAGGCCGGAGCCAGTCGAACGGAGGCAGTGGGTTGGGGCCTAAGCAGATCGGAGAGGTAGGGAGGTGCCAGGGCATGAAGGGATTTGAAAACAATTGTGAGGATCTTGATATTGATCCATGCGGCGATAGGGAGCCAGTTGAGCTTGGCTAGAACTGGTGCAATAGGGGTACAGTTTAGTTCGGGTGGTGGAGTTTTGGAACAGCTGGATCCTGTGCATGGTGGAGCTGGGGAAACCGGCAGAAGGAGAAACCATTTGAAGAGACAAAGTGAAGGCGATTTATTAGGTAGGACTTGAACCAGGCTTGTGCTAAATGGGACTGAATGGATTGCTCTTTCAAAGAACCAGTGCAGACACAATAAACTGAACGGCCTTCTTCTGTTCATATCTACAGTTCTGTACAAGAACATAATTTGTTTTGAATAAGTCTAACATAATCAATACAGATATGGCGTGATCACTGACCTTGATAACTACTCACATTGTTTTGGTATTCATTGAATGATCAACAGTCAGTCCCAACGTTGCTTTATTTTTTGACAGTCTTTTTATTGTTTACACATTGTGACTTTCATGTTTGAACCTGGATTATACTCCAACATGTATTGTTTTACATTTGTTCTATATTTATCAGTTTAAACACTAGCACCACTGCTTGCCCATGACACGCCTGAGGCCACATTCAACGCGTAAACAGAGGGTCGGATATTTAATCTCTTTTCCAGTTTCTACAGAGGCCACTGCTTAAACATGGCAATTTCCCACAAGAAGTGTATCTTTAGCAGATTTTGCCAACCCCTTCACAACTGCAGATTGCGCAAGATTATTGGTTCTGGTCATCTCCATCTGCTTGCCTAGGCTTTGCTGAGTTCCTGAGTGACAATGGACCACAAGAATATGCTGGTCGCAGTTTCACTAGCAATTTTGCATTATAAAAATCAATTTGAGTTACTTTATATTCCCCTTTGTTATTTTATTTATTTCTGACTTTCAGTTTATAGTTCTGTTGCCCTTCATTTGTTTTATAGATATATAATAATCCTTGCATTTTGATATAGCGCTTTTCACGTCTTCTCGACGTCTCAAAGCGCTTCACAGAATAGACTGTAAAGTGAATTGACTGTATATTTGTGGGCGAAACGCAGCAGCCAATTGCACACAGCAGTGTCCCACAAACAGTCATGGATTGAAAATGACCAATTTATTATTGTTTTGTTTTGGAGGGATTATTATTAGGCGTGTGAAGTAAGGAAACTTGCCCAAGGTTTCTCCCTGTCTGGAATTGAACCCAGGTGTCTCGCTTGCAAGGTGAGTGCTCTAACCACTGAGCTATAGGATTCCACGTTTTAAAGACATGCCCTCTCAATAAATAGGGTGTTGGGGAGCGAAATAAATTGTGAAGGGTAATTGTAAATTGTTTTGGTGGAATTGTTTTTCAGCTACCCAAACAAACATTTGAACCAATCTCGATGCCTATTAGAGTAATTTCATCTTGGTACTGAGATTTCACAGGCCTCAAGTCACCTGCAAAACTCAGCAGGTGTCAGCCTGGCTCAGTTGGTGGCATTCTTCAAGTCAGATGGTTGTGGGTTCAAGTCCACCTCGGGACTTTGAGTTCACAGTTTAAACTGGCACTCTGATGCAGTGCTGGAAGAGTCCCACATTGTTGAAGATGCCACCCTTCAGAATAGATGAGGTTCTGTCTGCCTTTTCAAGTGGATCTTAAAGATCCCATTGCATTATTCAAAGAGAGGAGGGGATTTCTCCCTGTCCCCTGGCCACCAATCCCCCAACAAAATTGGTCATTCACTCCATGGCTGTTTGTGGGACATTGCTGTGTGCAAATTCAGGGATAATTAAAACTCGGGTTGAAATTAAATTGAACTATAATATTAAAATTATAATATTTTCTTCATTTTAAGCATTAAGCAGTCATCTCTTATCCTAAGCCAACCATCAAAAATTATATTAACATTTGTCAGTTCATCATGTGTGTTCTCACAAATACAGTTTCCATATCTTTGGTATGCACATTGCAGCACATGGTGCAAGTTAAATGAAAGCGCATCCCTTCAGTGAATGAAAATAGACTTTCTGCAGAAATAGGTCAATGTCTGCATCAGCTGCCTCAGACATCAAATGACTAACTAAAATTGCTCTGATAGAAATCAACAAGGACCAGTGACTGACTATACACCATACACTGGAGTAGTCTTTGAACAAGTTGCTCCCAATATATGTAAATGGAATTGAACCTTAGCAAGAAAACCAAAAAAAAACATATACGAATCTAAGAATCTAGTTACTATATTTACTTGATTACAAAGCATTTTGATCCCCCAATTTTTTTTAAAAAAAACTCTGCAATCCAGAATCAAATTGGCCTTGTACTTAACAGTTTCCTTGACTTAATGTCCACATCAGAGAAGCTGTCATGAAGCAACTTGAATTGAGATATAGCACCTTATCACATCTTTGAGACGTTTCAAAGTGCTTTGCAGTATATACTGGAAATTGACTGTATATTTTGTGGGCGAAACGTGACAGCCAATTGTGCACAGCAGTGTCCCACAAATAGTTCTGGATTGAGTGACCAAATTATTATTTATTTATTGGAAGGGATTACTACCCCCGGAAAAGCGATCAGCTAATCGACTAACAACCGGGTTCCTACTTATTGCTAGATGAACAGAGATGTGTGGAGTAATGAAATGTGCCCAACGTTTTGCCCTGCTGGGAATAGAACTCAGGCCTCTTCCGTGCAAGGTGAGTGCTCTAACCACTGAGCTACAGGACTCCACAGTTAAATACAGAGAAAGAGTCAAAGAAATAAAAATCAGTGCGAGACACAAGGCTGAACAGGATAAGAAACGGTTAAAGAAAGAATGTCAGACACACAAAATAAGAATGTCATTTTTCTACGTGACTGTAAAATATATAGAGTATCAGGAAATTTCAATCGATATCAATTAGTGGGAATTCAAAAAAGTGAAATTTGTCATTTAAATAAAATCCACCTAAGAAGTGTATAATGTTAAAACAAAGGGATAATCTGCTCAGCATTCTGTTTCCTCTACCAGCTGGTGGATAAGCACCTTGACATTACTTTATATTGTGCAGCACAAAGCCTCAATAGCTCACCAAATAAGAACATAGAATACTGTGGGAAAAATATAGCCCAATTATCCAACTTTCTATTCACCTATCTCAGCATCCGATAACTTTGAAACTTCTTCAATATGCAGGAACTAAACTAAAACTCTACATAGTCCTTTATAGCCCAACTACGTTGCTAATTTGTTCTAGCACTTCTCATTCCCATGTTTTATGAAATTAAGGCACTTCATAATTCAATAGATCTATCAAGCTCTCTTGCATTCAGTCTCATCTTTTCGTGAAACAAAAGTACTGTGGGGTCAATATTTCCTCATAAAGCTGTGCCCTCAATTTTGGAATATAAGTATCTTTCTGTTTCATTCTTTCTAAAAAAACTGAATCTTTATTTTGAAATAAAGATCAAAATTGTATCCAGTACTCCAGAGACCCTAAATTCTACCCAGTCTTCATCCATGGATTTTTTTTAAAAAAAAACAGAATTTAAAAAAGTCTTGATTAGGAAGCTAGGTCTTAAGAACTGTGAAAAAATCCTGCTTCCAGATTAAGATGAAATTTGAGAATTTTCCAAAATTATGTTCAAAATTTAAGACAGAATAAACCTGTTGGAATTTCAGGCCTCTGAATGTAGACTGATCACTGCTGGATAACAGTCAAAGAGTAATGTATCAACCATCACATTATTTAAATGTTCACACTTTCAGAATTAGTTGGGTGTTCATTTAGGTTTATTAGATTCCAAGCAGTGAAACAGATCCCCTTGCCAAGACTTACATTAGTCTCAATTTTAAACATCAGAAAATAAAATTTTTTGAAAATCTCACCATATAAATCTACCTAGGAGCATCGTGTAAACTGAAATCCATCACCACTGGTCAACCTACTGTGGGTCAAACATTAAACAACTAAGTTCAAAGGTAATTTTCTGTTTGTGATTGAAGTAACTCTTCAAAAATATAATAATTGTGTGTCCTGAGTTGTAACTTAACCATCTTTATCAAACTGATTTTAAAAAAAGTACTTTATAAGTATTGTCAGCTTGGCTCAATTGGTAACACTTTCAACTCTAAGCAGAAGGTTGTAGGTTCAAGAACCATGTCAGTAGCTTTGAGTTTACCATCTAATCTGACAATCCAGTCCAGCATTAGAGAGGCACTTAATTGTGCAGGCCTTCGGACAAGCGCTTCAGTCATCCCATCTGCCTGTTCAGGTGGATTTGATGGATTCCATGACCCTATTTAATTTAAATTAGCCATCCACCTCCTGACTGTATGTGGGGCATTGTTGTGTCTAAATTGGCTACTGTTTTCACCTACAAATACACACTTATGAAGAACTTGAGACATTTCAACACAATATGCACTAAATCAAATGTGAGGAATATTATTAATAATCCAAATATTATAATGTTTTTTGTAAAGCTTTCTTCATTAACAGGCTATGCAAGACAAGACATTGTCTGATCTTTATTGCTTTGATAATTACTGTTACTCTGCTCATCTGTAACCAGGTCGAAGCCACCCACGCGAACCATATGGTGCACAAGTCAGTCACCTTTATCTCCGGGTCACCTTTTCATAGATTTTTCCAGGTATCAAAAGAAAAAGGCAGAAGGAAAATTAAAAGAAAACGTACTTCGCACTTACTCGAAAATAATCACTGCACGCTGCTAGGACTGCCTTGTGCGCATGAAATCTTTGTTCCTCCGCAACCAGAATGACATCACAAAGTATCCCATCGTTGCGCTGCTGGTTCAGGGCTGCGAGAATGGCATCCTTGTGGGACTTTGACTGACAGAGTCTATGACCCGTCAGCATTTCTTGAATGCTGCAAACAAACAAACATAAAGGTAAACCTCAACAAAAATAAACAGGCTCCTGCAAAGAGGTAAAACTGTAGGGAGGAATCGTCTTTTAAATCACCCAACCCGTGTCAAGGAACTTAAAATAAGAAGCTTTTGACCAGAAAGCAAGGATTGCCTCCCCAACATACAATTATAAAATGATTAAACCGCTGCTTGGTTTGTGTGGATCACATGCTGGATAAGAAACAAAGCCTTGAGAATCTTTTCATTGCATGGCCCGCACAATTTAATCACATAAACAGAGGTGCAGAGAGCACACACAGCAGCTATTGGAATTATTTTGAAGAAACCAGAAATATCAATATGCAAATTTAAAAAATAAACTGATAAGAAAAAAATACATTCCGATTCTCCTACATCTTCTGCACCAGCTGCGAGTTCAAAGTTGCAATCTTACAATTCGACAGAAGCTTTGAATGCTTCATCGCTGACTGATCCAAATTAAATGCAAGCTGGCTCAAAAGGACATCACATGCATACAAGGGTCAAATGTACAGTACCTGAGGCACATTTCAGATGGCATACTCTTATCCACCCAGCGGGTAACAATACAAAAGGCCTCGGCAGGAAGTGCAAAAACAACGTTAGCTGAAAGTGCAAGAGAGATAAAGCAACATGTAAGTACGAATACATTCAGTTTCAATTAATTGTATGATCAGTTTCCATACAGAATCCAGGCTCATTCTTACCACTGAATCAAGAGTTCTACAGAAAGCAAATGAAAGGGTAGTTCACAAATAAAGGTTATGCCGCTAACACATGATTCTCCCATTTTTCAAAGCAGACAGTGTTCTTTTGATAGATAATTTTGCCAAACAGTTGTGTTCAGAATTATATAAGCTATTTTCCAGTTGACATTAAAATACTTAAAATATTCTCTCCTGCACAAAGCTCCATGAGCCCACCTTCGCCATCCTTACAAGGCTTCAATGCTTCCTGATTGCCACAACAGACCAATCCTTAGCAGTAAATACTTCCAAGACCATACCTCTGCAATCTCCTGCAGTGCAAGTACCTCGCCAACTCTTTCCACTCTGCCAACTCCGGCCTGTTTTGTGCCCCGCACCTGCTCCACCCAACTATTGGGATACCATTGCGTCCCCAAAATACCTCACATTTTAAAAGTTCTAAGTGTTAGCTAAGCTTCGTAAAGAAAGGGACATTCTACTTTGTTTTGGTGGTGGGGCGGGGGGGGGGAGAGCTAAGAAAAACAATGGGAGAAAATCATAGCTTGTGAACCTCCCAGCTCAAAAGCTGTATGGGTAAAAGTCTGGGAACAGATACGGTACAATACAAGTTACATTTCCAAAGTCACTCGAGTTCAAGTTCGGAGGACATCCAGATACCTGGAGACTCAAACTCTCAGTCGCATGCACTGCAACAAGAACAAGAAATTAATTTAACTCAGCACTGATTCCAGAGGCAACATTGAGGTTGATCACTTTCCCCAATGTGTTCACAGGAGATAAAACTGATTGCTTCTCAGCTTTTTGGCTAAGATAAAGTGAAGTACAGTATCTGTTCTTATCAGTTATTTCTTGGGTTGTGCAGTTCTTGGCAGTGAGCTCCTCCTTTCAGGTCTTGGATGGGTATAAGCTGCCGCAGCTCTGACCCTTCCCATGATTTATTCCCATGACGTCCTCAGTGCTCATCCTTTGATGCAATGGGTTTATTTATGGAGGATAGATATAGCTGGGCGCAGGAATGCCACCCCTTTTGGCTACGATCGAGATTGCAGAGGCCTTGATTGTGAGGGGTTTGATCCGCCTTCACAAGGAGAAGTGGAGAAATTGGAATACAAACCTACTTTGAGCCTATAGTCACTAGACTCAGACTGGGATAGTCCGGTTCAGAGAGGATCTGGCTACTTGACTTGCTCAAGTGATCATGAGCAAACATTATGTAATCTGACCCATTTTCTGTTGCACAAGATTGGACTATGAAATAATCTGGTCTTGAGTACTTACAAGTCTCTGAAATCTTGATTCATGACTCTTTCTGTGCCCATACCTCTTGAGTGACTTTGGAAGGTCTGTAAGAACTATTGAGGGAAGTTTGCTATAGGTAGAGTCCTGATAGGACCACTCTGCCTATTAGAGTCTTGGCTTGAGAGTTAACAGGATCTTAGTGGGAAAAATCAGTGAGAGGGCTAATCAGATGAACTATATCCATAAGAACTAAAAGCCACAGTTGTTCAATAAGCTAGGACAATTTCACACTTTTGTATAAATAAATTTGTTGTTGAGAGTTGAACTAAGAACTAATAACTTAGCTCTTAGATATCTATAGTACAAGTCACTGCCAACTAGAATCAATACAAATCTGTTTAATAGCAATCAGATGAATGGTTGTGTTTTCTTGCCTCTGGCGTTTGTATTAAAATGAACTCAACTTCAAGACAGCAGGAAATTAATAAGGAACAAAACAACACGGCCCACATTACATTCCACAACTGAACTACTGTGAATCTTTCCACTCAGCTCCTGTTAACTCTTAAATTAAAGCTCGAACAGGAAGATTGATCCTATAAGCAATATCCAATCAGTATTTGTGATGGGGAAATAGCTGGTTAATCTCGAACAATAGCCTAAAGTACACTCTGGGATCCTCATGCCGTGACTCTTGTCAATTTGTGCCTAAACTTTCCGGGATTAGGTAAACGGAGTGAGTTTGTCCAGGGCAAAATTGCACAGAAAAGCAAATTTCCAAACATATGTGAAAAATTCAGTAGTTTGGTTTGGATGCTCTTGTAAGATGCATGCTACAATCTTATAGTACTTAAATATTTTCAGTAAATGTTATCGATAGCGAACAGACAATACAACAGTCTGGGCTACTGTATCATTTACGTGGTAAGGGAATGGTATTTTGTACAATGATTGCTACTTGTAGTATGTTTAACTTTACAAAAGCAACAGACTGGTTATTTATACTAGCACCATGGCTCGCTGCTGAATAAAGCTGCACGGGGACTTACATGGTGCTGTGAAATGCTTTATCCCTGCTTAAGGGATTTTCAGAGACGATGGCAAGTCATTTTTGAAGAGAGGAGAAAGGCAGCCTACATTCAAAGGGAGTATTACAAAGTAATAGTGAATAGTCCTTGCAAGAACTATTCACTGTTACATTTTTTTTAAAAAGTGATGTAAATAACACAGGATCGTTCTTCCTAATTTTAAACACATCAGTTCACTCATGGGAAAAGGGGAAAACACTATTAATCCCTAACAAATCACACTACTTTAATATTCTGACCTACAATTTTAATTTAAAAATAACAGTGCAAAATGAAGACAGGTCAAAGGAATAGAACAAAATCAATGAATACTTCAAACCTTTAGGTACTGAGTGAAGAATGTATAGGTTCATGCTCATTTCTGTATGAAGATGATAAATCGTTACCAACCAACCTTAACAAAAGGAAGCCACAAGCGTGATACAATTTTCACAACACTCACTGTAATCAGGCGTGCAATGTGTCAACTTGGAAGTGTTAACATTAATGCAATTATCAAGTCACCTTCAGTATTCTATGATAAAGACCTCCTTGAAATCTCATAGGCAACAACTCAAAACACATTTGTCTTACAAATAAGGTGTCACATTTTCTGGATAGTTTCCATGGTGCAGTTTCTTCATTCAGTTTTAAGGGCGATTGATCAACATAGGCTGGTCTACAATTTTCTAATACAACTGTTCCACTCTGAAGTGATGATCAACAATAAACTTGTTAAATAATACTGCTGAATTTTTGAAAATGTTCACATACCGCGCACAATTCAAGGTTATTTTGTTTCAACAAAAACATATTTGTTAAAAATGCAAAAAAGAGAAATGTAAAAAAATCTTTCACTATTCCGAAATTACTAAATTATGAAAGGGTAATTTTAAGGTTTGGGTGACAGGAGTGGATTAACACTAACACAGCTTTTTGCCTCTGGGATCTGGCTTTAACTCAGCTAAAGAATGTAGGTCAAAAGGCTCTCCTCCACCAGTAGGAAGCTCTTGCATAAACTAGTTTGGACAGTCAATTCAGCATTCAGTGGAAGTGGGCACACAATGGAGCCATAAATTGGTAATCTCACACAGAGAAAACAAGAAGCGCGAGTGTAGGGAAAATATACAAATAGAGTAAATAATTTGCTTTGCATCTTCCCATGCTATATGTGTTAGCCTGGCTCAGTTGGTAGCATTCTCATCTCTGGGTCAGAAGGTTGTGGGTTCAAGTCCCACTTTCACGACTTTGAGCTAATATTCTAGGACGACATATCAATGCAGCTCTGAGGGAAAATGTTGCATTGTTGGACTGCTCTTGGATTGTCCTTCTTGCATTTCTAGCAATTTTCTGATTTTATTTCTACTATCCTTGGGTCCTTCTTGAATAACTTCTAACTTTAGCTGGATCTGCATTTTTCCCCCTCTATCTTTGTTTTTTTTAAAAAAACATACAATAAGTGTACTGAATTATCACGTATTCCATCACCCATTTCATTATATAAAGGATGTTATTCCAGCTGAGATATTCAAATTCTAATGAAGGGCCCACCTGAAATCTGAATCTAACTTATTCAGTGCAGATTGCCATAAATATCTAGCAATCTGTTGTTTTACTTCATCAAATGGAATAGGCCATCTCTATTAACCATTCACCAACATCATGCTGTCTCTGTCACTCTGAGTTTAATGGTGAGTCACAAGCCATTTTTATTTTTCTGAATAAATTGTACATACCATTTCATCCAAACAAAGTAGGCAGTGGTAGTAATTCATTCTCAGTGCTTGCTAAAACCTCGAGCTTTGACCTCATTAGGTAGAATAATAGGGCCACTTCACTAAATTGCTGCCAACCAATTGTTATTGTATTACCTGGCAGTAGATCTTTGAATTTATCCCAAATGACTGTACACTATTACAGGTTATCCAAGAACAGTTTGCAATCTTTCCCTCTCACCAATTTCCTCCATGCTCCAAGGAGTCTGACCTAAAGCAACAACAGCACAACTTGCACGTATATAGCGCCCTGCACGCTGGGTGGCGTATCAGAACGCTTAACAGTGGTAGAGCCCAAGGCCGAGCCAGGGAGAGGGGGAAGGTGACCATAGACGCGGTCGAAAAGGAAGGTCTGCAGGCGCAACCTGAAGATGTGGAAGGCAGAGGTGAGGTGAAGGAGTTGAGGGAAGGAGTTCCAAAGTTTCGGGGCTTGTGGCTGAAGGCACGGTCGCCGATGGTGGAGAGGATTCGGGGGACTCGGAGGGGCCGGACCCAGTAGAGAGAAGGCAGTGGGTACTGCTGTGGGGAGAGAAGAGGTTAAAGAGGTACGGGGGTGCCAAGGAATGGAGGGATTTAAACAATAGTGTGTCGATCCGCTTGGTGACAAGCAGCCAGCGGAGTTTGGCAATGACTGGAGTAATCGGGGTACGAAGTTTGGTGCGGATGAGAATATGGGCGATGCAGTTTTGAATGAGCTGGATTTTGTGAATAGTGGAGGAGGGGAGATCAGCGAGGAGGGCATTAGAGTAGTCCAGCCAAGAGGTGACAAAGGCATGGACAAGGGTTTCGGCAGCTTTTGGGGTGAGGTATTGTTGGAG